ATGCTTGCTGTGAAGCAGCAGCTTCTTGCTGAGGACTAAGGCACTTTTGGACTTGTGAGAAAGGGAATAGGCGTGACCTTAAAATGGCTGCCATGAGAGTCGAGTTAATTTCAAAATAGCTGCTGTTAGGGGCAGGACAACCTCCTTGCTTTGTGGAAGATTTGCTATTTGGTTTCATTTTCCAAATAAAGGGGATTTTCCCCCTTGCACCACCACAGGGAAGAGATTGCATTGCCAAGACAAGAAACATAAGCAGATCTGTATCTACAGGCAAGCCGAGAGCACACGGCAGTGACATGCCATCCCAGTTTAAGCTTAGTACTTTTTTAGTCAGCTAGTAAATGTTCCCTTGCTCGAAAGCCAGTCGAATCCGACTCTAGGGTTGCGGTGCTCATCTCCATTTCAAAGCCGAAGAGCCAGCGCTGTCCGAAGACGTTTCCGTGGTCATGTGGCCGGCATGACTAAACACCAAGGCGCACGGAACGCTGTCACCGTCCCACTAAAGTGGTACCTATTTATCTACTTGCAATTTCTTGCTTTCGAACTGCTAGGTTGACAGGAGCTGGAACTAGAGACGGGAGCTCACTCCATCATGCGGCAACTCGGGTCTCGAACTGCTGAACTACTGACCTTCCACAGCCTGCAGTTCAGCGTGTTAACCACTTGAGCCACCGCAGCTAGTAGGGAGTGTTATAAATGTAACTCTTCCCCCCTTGTTCCATTCAAGAACGCTTGGATATCCACCCCCCAAGACTCAAGGAACATGTGGGCACTAGGAAACACATTGGCTGGTGTGTGCAGATCGTGCTAGGTGGTGGTGGGGTAGAACCAAGTCAGACCTCAACTAGCAGCACTCCCCTTCCAGCAAATTCATGCACACTCACTTTTTCCATGACTGTCTAAATCATGATTTCTACAAAGAGGGACCAAGAGCACTGGCTACTCAAGGCATCCGCCCTCCTCTCTTTATACTCCTTTCTTAGTTCATTCACTTGTTCCTGACAGAGCAGGAGACTCTTATTTTGGAGATTTCTTCATATAGCCTCAGATTGAAATCTCAGTGGCATGAATTGAGCTGGGCACTGATGACTTCTTCTAAGACTTCTACAAATGCTTCCTTGTTGGTAACTGCTGCACATATAAATTGGAGGCAGGAGGCCATAATCTGGTACTTAATAGCTTGACTAAATTTTAGGTTTAGTGCATAGTTTGCCCTGCCCTGTGAGTCTAAGAGTTTGGAATGCTAGGGACCTGCTAACTCTAGTTGACCCTGCAAAATACATTGGAAATAAGAAGGCCTTTGTTACTTTGCCTCTTAAGTTTGGTTTGAACACCATAAAAACCACATGAGAAAAGCACATTTTCCTATAGATAGAGCAACAGCAGACAAACACATGTGCTGTATGCACACCTCCATATAACACAGGTAAAATACAGATCCAAAGCACCATCATGAGAACGGCTTTGCTACATTGGTCCAAAGGTCCTTATAGTCCAGAATTCTGTCTCCTGCAATGCACAGCTGAATATCCTTGGGAAGCTCACAAGCACGACACAATGCAAATAATACTTGCCTGCTGTTTATAATGCTTATTATTTATTGATATTATCTTTTCTCTGCTCCTTTTCAGAACTTTTTTTTTTAGTTAATTATGAGAACTCTCATTTGGGGTCTTAATTGTAAGACATTCTTATGTTAAAATTAGGGTTGCCAAGTCTTCTTATCTTGGCAGCGGGGGAGCCTCGCCGGGCTCTGGAAGCTCCTCGGTGGTGCGTGCGCACGCCATCAGCACGTCACAGGAAGTGACATGCTACGTTGCTCCCGTTGAGGGCGTGGCCCCAACGTGAGCAATGTGGCTGCGTCACCTCTGGTGACGCAACCACGCTGCGCTTTGGGGGGCAGAGTTTCCCCGGGGCCCGATTCCACGGCGGCAGAAATCGAGCCTCCAAAGCAGGGGTTTCCCCGCCCCCTGCCCCCACTTGGCAGCCCTAGTTAAAATACCTCAAGAGCAGCTTGCTACAAGGATATAGCTTATTCTCCTTCACATCTGCATTGAGTGCTATCACCTGTGGGTATACGCACGGATATGTGTGGCCAGAATGAAGCTAGATCAAGATG